ATTCAACAGGCTGCTTTAACCTCTTCAGGGACGATTCTTTTTGTTATTGTCAAATTTTTGCTCCTTTTATCATAGACAGTAATTCTAATTATATAAAACTAAGCGTTGGAACATGGGTGATCTAGAGTTTTGGGAGAGTGTGGGTGAATACTTGGTCTTATACTAATTTTGAAACTATTTAAGTAGTGCAATTGCATATCTACACAACTTGAATTTAATACGGTATTCTCTCGAATTCAGCAACTCGCCGGTCCCAACCGAGTTGCTTATCGCGAGACAGTACTGTACTAGATTTACGGAGATTTCTTACCAGATTTCTGTTACTGAAGTTTAGTACTGTTACTGAGCTTTAGTAAGTGACGTCGATTTACTAAAATTAATTAAGAGGTCTAGACGAAAATGAATTTGGATATATGTTTGTCTTTTTATATAGATGAGAATCAGTATAAGCGGTTGGCAGAAAATATAAAGGGTTTCTGTAAAACCTTCTGGAAATAGGAACGATTGAAAGACTTAAAGTTGAACCTACTATGTCTTAATTTTAATACGTTACCCCAAAAATTCCAATCCATACTTTCAGCAATCATAAGATAATAATTGTTACATGTTTAATTAATCTTAATATTCGAAAAATGTTCAAAATTACCGCAACTGTATAATTACACCGTGCACGAGGGTTGCTTTTAAGTATAGCCTGCAACACGGTTCAAAGTTTATCTTCTTTTGTTCCTTTGTCCTCGTTAAATCGACTTTTTTACTAGCGAAGATTCTTCTACAAAGACAGCCAAGGTTCCTGACGGTACGTGATGCGAAAGTTTCTCTAATCTCGATCTCGCGTGCAATCAGATAAAGGTCACCTCGCTCATTCATGTCTTTGAACAACTCTGCCCTTCGGAGTAATTAAAATTAGTAATTCGCGCAATTAATTGAATCAGCAATTAATTAAGGAACACTGTTCAGTGTTTATCGAAACTCATCGAGGCCTGTTAGAGACACATCGTCAAAGAAGCACAGTCGATCGGCCGATAAAGAAGCCATAGACACGAACACAATTAATTAATGCGTTAAACAATGTCGATGAATTATTCCCGTCGGACGAAATTTATGTAAAAAGGACGTTGAAAAATGTATCACGCGTCCCTATCGTCGAATGTATGTTAATACTGTACTATGATGCATGTATACATACTATCGTTTTCCTTTTATTTGTCAGTATTCATTATTCAATACAAATACGACTCTGTGAATATGTATAGGTTTATTTGTAGGCGAAGCCAGGAATTTTTATTGATTCTATGCAAATTACAACCGCGCATTACATTTTTCAATGTGAATATATTAACCTAACCTCATACTATACCAAGCTATAGCTCACAACTGTTAAACGTATGCATAAACAAAAATAAAAAATAATTCTTTAAGCATTTTGCCTGGAACACTTTCTACCTAATAACCTAATAGAGTAATTTCGTTTCGAGACAAAATTAATTCAAAAAGGAATTAACTAGAAGGGCCTTCAACATTGGAAGCCGGTGATGAGCAAAATTGCATTACGATAGTAGAAAACAAATAAAAGCAACAAATAGAAATTTATTCCCGTCTTAATTCGATTCAGGAGCTGAATTTCCAGCTTCTCGTTATAAAATATTTCATTCTACTATACAAATTTTTACTTCTATTTCAGGTGGTATCGTTTACTCGTTATACAACATTTTGATTAAGATGAGACCTTTGCCCGTTCGCGATGGAAACCTGCGGAAATGGGAAAGATTAGGCGTTTGAAAAAATTCAGAGAAGTAGACGTGCCGACATAAATATCCGCCATTTCGTTGGCAGTTGGTAAAACTAGCCCGCTTTCGAGCAAGTCGGGAGAATGTTGGAATACGCGGTAATGCGATATTAATGATACGTTCGCGTGATACAAATTAGCCGCGGCAATTAACTCATATCATAGAAGCAGCAATTAGCGGCGAATCGAACACGTCATATTTTTTGTGGTACAACTATATAAACCGGAGATGCGATCGGCAATGCATCGAGGGAATTTTGAAGAAACCATTAACGGTATACGTTTGCAAGCTCATCGTTTACGTATCGTCGACCAATTATAGTGTGCTCGCGATATAAAATGGTTTGAAATCTCTTCCTGTTCCTCTTACATTTTTTTTAAATTATTTTAACAAGGTATTTGTAGTCACGACCATTCCGCGATTATTTATTTCCAATTAAACGCAATCGACAGCTAATTAGGTGATATTATTTCGTGGTGTTTGATAAACTACCTTTCTTAATTAACACATTCGCGACTGCTGACTTGAATTCACCTCAAATTCTATTCCTGATTATGAACAAATTACGAAAATCTTTTTATTCTATAGACTACATATTTGCAACATTGATATTTTAAAATATATTTTGTAATTTTTTTTCCGCCCTAACGATACAAATTTGCGATGATTTTTGAGATAAGAAGTTATCACCCTTGCAGAAATTATTAATGAATCTACAGATTCCAATATAAAAATCAGTATAATATAAATAAAATTAGAATACTGCACATATAGGGTGACTTTATGGACAGATAAAAAGAAGTTGGCAACCTTGGTTAAATTATTACTAAATCTACAAATTCTAATGTCAAGAGAGAGTTAAACTAATTACAAAACATTTTAATATCTTAAACCTGCTCCCTCTGTATCAAATACATGTTAATCTATACATTCTAAATATTTTAGGAGACTTCTGCTTAAATCTTAACCTATGTAGTTAGTTGATTTCGAAAGAAACTGTCCTGGAAATCTAAGTTGAACAAATCCAAAAGTCTAAAATCATCGAAAATCTAACAGTCTCGAGGCAGCTTCGACGCGAAAGGTCGAGGCTTTCATAAATCTTTCGTCCTACGTGTCTTTAGGCGGTCCAGGTTAGCGGAGGCGCCGATTCTTCCGCGATTTCCACGCGATCAATCACAACAAAGTGTGAGAATTTCTTCGGGTCTCATAAACTCTCCTGTTCGAGGCAGAAAAATTCATTTATCGAGGAACTGCCTAGCTAAAATACAGTCAACACCTTCGAACAAGTTACCTTCGACGTTACTCCCACGAGACGTCCGACCACTCCAACACCTTCGCAACCAATTCACATCCGTGAAGAACGATTGGTACGATTTACTGAATTCTGCTTACCTGTAACAAAAAAAAATGTATCTGGTTAGAAAATCAATTTCCCAAAATATTTTGATTAAGTATACATTAACTATTTGTTAATGTATTATTTGATGAGAGTTTCTTAAATATTTAGAAAAAGAGCATGTTTGCAAAGCTACACAAATGAAAAGTTTTCGAGAAGGATTTTTCTTTAATAAAAAAAATCAATTGGATTTATGCAAATTGTGTCTGGCCATTTTTGTTCTACTTTTCTATCCTTCTTCTCTTTCTCTGTTTACTCAAATGTAATAGTCTCTGTTTTTCTTATTTCTTTCTATTTTTTATCATTTCTCTTTATTTTGTTCTCCATAAAATCAAGCAGTAACATTTTCTTACTACTCATGTGTCTTTTACACAAGTAACTGAGTAACTACATTTTATATTAATTTTATTCGTACACGTCGGAGAATGATTCTTTCACTTTTACTCTTTCAAGAACCATCAAATGAATGCATCTAAAACAACTCGTACAAACAATGTATCTAATACCTTCACATAAAATTAATAGTATAATACAATTGCTAAATGAAATTATTACCTAAATTAAACGAACATCATCGCGTATTATTCGCTGAAAGAGTTCAGAAAGCGAACGCACTTTGCGAAATTGATCGAAACAATATACTGGGTGATACACTGGCCAGGTTAGCGATGATTAATCAGCCAACGACGGGCAACGGTTAAAACGACTACGCCTCGTAAACCTCTGCTGACGATCGAGTCGTCGATGCTGCGTTAATAAAAGGAGTAGATGGGAGAGGGTCGCGAAGTGAGGAGAACACTTGGGCGTATCTGCCTACGACTTGACCTCGGTATTGCACTAATGCTTTCATAGATTCATCCCAGAGCAGCCTATCAGGAAATACACGAGACGGTTGGGCGGCACTAGGCGCGTTGTCTCCCGATTTGAAGCATTGAAAATTAGCATTCCGCGTTAGAGTTCATTGGAATTTCTAATGAACGCTCCGAACGTATATCGTGCAACCACATTCGTCGAAACTAGTTTAATGTCAAGCACCTTGAATCATTGTAGAACGCGAATCTCCCAATGGAAATGAATGTTGTGGTCGGAAACTCTTCGGTTACTCTCGAAATAGATTGCTATGTAAAGTGGTTTAAGCTTTTGATATTCCAGGATTGTTTTACAACGTCTTCAAACTTGATCAAACACGTCATAATGTTATGGGGCTTGACATGGCAATTGTAAAACCACTGTACGCACTACTACCAAAGAACAAAATCCTAAAGAAGATAGTGGATTCGATGATTCATACATCTTCAAACCATGTACACTATGATAAATAATAAGGTAACCTAACATAACCTAACCCAACGTATCGGGTAGGTATATATGACATGTCGTTTATACAAATCAAACGGTAACTATATAAAACTACTTTCAATGAAACATAGTGCATTTAATTAAAATAATTTCCATATATAATTCTTCATTTATTAATTCTGAATGCATTTCTTCTATTTCATTGCAATAAGATTCAGGATTAATTATACAATCAAAGGGTAGAAAAGGATGACGAGTAATTTAATTTTCTAATAAAAAGTCACCAGCTTTGAATTTTCCAAATCAAACATTCACATTCAAACACCACACATTCACATAATCTTGTTTGAAAGCTAACATTTTGTTTTTAGCAATTTTCACTCTCACCTTCACACGTTCATACTCATGTATTCCAACATCTTTAGAGATTCTAATGTGTGTGACTTACAGTATATTTCATCCTCTTTAATATCATTACAATCAATTATTGACAGAGTAGACTTAAATTGATCTTATTGGTTCCTAGTGAATGGAACACTAGAAAAACGACATTTCATATGCACCAACCTAATAGTAATTATTGAAATACATACATACATATGCGGTAAAAAAACATTCCAGCCTCATCGATTAGCATGGTTCACTGCCAGCTGTATAATGATAGCTGTTGTGCAACTGCCTTTTGTTTCTTATTCGATCAATATTATAGAACTCGTGAATGTAGAGCATCCTATTTTATACATTAAATAAATAATAAATAAATGTCTTCATAAAACGGTGTGATTACTGTTTCACAGCCCTTAAATTCCCTCAATAAATAAAAATTACTCACAGACCAATAAAAGATACGTGCACTAATTAATTATAAAAATACATCAGGAGTGATTTTCTTAATATGATCGAACCATGTAATAACATTACGTAACATTAGCCATGATATTACTAAAAAGAGTATCACAAAAAAATTTACTTTATAAACAACTCTATCTTACAAACAATAAATAGCTAAGTGACCATAGAGTCTTCAAACCATAGCAAACACCCTGCAACAATATTGCCCAAGTAACCCACCCTTTCTAATAATTACAAAATCACCAGAGAGCGGACAAGTTAATAAATAAACACGATTTCCAAACATCTAAAAAATAAGAACAAAGAACTCACAAGTTCCTTCGACGCATACAGACGATTCGAAGAACAATACCCACGCGCGGTCTCTAGTTACATAGATTAAAAATTGAATTCCCCGGGAGTCCCCGAGTCCAGTTACACGGAGAGCTCGGTCGTCCCGGAGTGCCTACGAGAGATTTTACCTCCTCGTCGTATTCCCGGAGCGGTGAAATTCCAAAGAGGCTCAGCTTAGAGCTTCGTTGCGTGTTGGCGTTGCACGTGGGTTGGGCACCACGTTGAGCCCCCCACACAATGGTACACCTTGGCCCGTGTACACGGGAATAGGTCGGGACCTCGACGTGTCAGAGGTGAGGCCGCACCCTGCATTGTGTCCTACCCACGTGACCGCCGTACGAGTCGTCATTCGTGTCAACGTTTCCCCCATGAATCCTTCTCTTGACCGTAGGTACGCGCGTGTGTTGGTAACGAGTTGTGATAAAGTCTGCTGGCAAGCCAAAGGTGGTTCGTCGCGTTGGGTTTAACTCTCCATCGGGGGAGAAGCTCTAATGGAAGGCTATTCTATGTTTGATAACTATAGAGTCGGAGTTTTATACGACACGTAGGTGGTTGGTGCCCGAAAATTCCAGTCATCCCACTTCAGGAGAGTCAACCTCTCGCGGCTGAGCGCGCGCTACTTGGGCGCTGTGATTGGCCGGTGGTTTTTCGTTAATAATTCAAAAACCATTCGACATTTTTGCAAAGGAATGTGTGGTTCAGAATCGTCTCAGCTACTTCCCTATTTCCGATTCGTACACTAATTCTGAAACATTATATATTAGCATTCTATAATTACGAAAGGAAGATGTGTGTTATCGATATGTTGGATCAGTGAAGGAACAAACCGTTGTACGTAAACAGTAAAGGACAAACAGTAAAGGTAACATACTTCAAACTGTTACACAGAATATGCAGCATGATTCGACTTGGCAGTCGGCTGTAACAATCTGTGGTGTTTATAAGCGCGTTCAGTCTGTTTTAATTTTTCATCGTCTTGTGATTAATTCTCATTAAATATATCGTAGAATTGTTCTTTATTCCAGTGCCTGGTTTCCATTATTTTTCTTTGAGAGCTTGGGACTTTTTGTAAGTAGTCAGAACAGTCGTAGGTATGGGCGTGTTTTGTCACCTTTCTTTTATACCTTTTTCAATTTTATATTATCAATTATATTATATTTACAAGTTTCTCACGTGTCTAATTTTGTCGCCACCCTCGATCATCCCAACGTATCATTATCAGAGCATTTTCAGCGTCCTAGCTGCTAAATTGTTCAACAGCCATCAACTTCGCTTCATGTATTTACCCACGAAACTGCCAAGTAGCATGAGACTTACGCACAAGTGGTCAGTCATCAAGTTTCACCCATTTCTTCAGTGACACTCGTTACTAGGTCATCTATTCTTTTCCAGGATGCGTTTAACACGTTAAACAGCGCTGAATCACACCGTTGCATATCCACGACATATTATAACACCGAGCTCGATTCAATTTATCGTTGGATAATTTATGCGAGCAGTTACGCAGCCGTCAATTATAAGCTTGATGAATTACGCGGCGCACGTTTGACCGAGCAACTTGGAACGAAGGTTCTAACCTTTGAGTCCGAAACTTTCTATCGGCACAGAAACCCATGGAATACGCTAACTTCGATACTAAAACGCCCCGTTACTCCATAAATCTTGGCCATCGAAAGTCACGGCGCGTGTAAGCCGTTCGATGTCAAATTGGAGAGGGACTTTTTCATAGCGCGCTGACATTCATTTCCGTGACAGAACGTTTCAGTAATTGGAAGTGGCGCGATGCCAGCCAGAAGCTATTCGCGATTAAGGATCTGATTAGCATTTCTTCCATAACTTTTCTTGTTCGGGTAACGGAAAACCTGGACAATTTTTCCACGCTGTTTACAGTTAATGTGATTACGCACTTTTTATCAATTAAGATCTTGGAGACTTCGACGAGTGGGCGAGAATGCGTCGCCGTAAACATATATAATTTAAATTCATGCCTCAATAAACGAGTCCACGTGTAGTATACAAACATTCGTCTGATGCATCGTATAGTCTATTCTTATATTTCGCAAATTTTCTCGCACGCTTCCACTCAAATTCTCGGAGACTTCAACGCGTGGGCCCTACTGCATGGTCGTCAACGCTCACAATTTAAGTCATGCACTACGAAATGAGTTCCTAGATAGTATCCCGAGATCTTCCTGATGCATCGTGCACTCTGTTTTTACATTTCAAGGGTCTGAAGTACCGAACAGGAGTCGAGGCTCCCCCGGCCCTCCTCCCCACCAGGAATTTCAACCGCACACGAGTAAGGAACGCGTGTCCCGGCGTTTCACGGGTGCCTGGGGCCCCAAAAAGAACGAAATTTATTCCCGCGACACGCATTACCGGCAACCAGAAGAGGCCTGCCGATTACGATCGCGAGCATCCTGGCAGAACGTCTCCGTCCTAACGGATTATTACGAAACGTACTACCGCGCTATCGCGAGGCACCCGGTGGAAGAGGATTGTTCGCGGTTCG